GTCAAAGTCTGTTTCTTTTGGTATGGAAACATCTCCTCCATTAGAAAATAACAACGGTCTCGTACAATAGTATCCTTCTGTGTTTGTGTGTTGGCGCACTTCTCAGAAACGCACAGGGGCAGTCCTGCCCTGAGTCGGCGTCACCTGGATGGCAGCGAGTGAGTGAGGCCTTCACGCGGCCCCCTGTCCTCTGAGTCCGTCCAGGTCGTGAGGTGGTTCACGGGTCCACCACTACTCATCGCACCCCTCTGAGTATGTCCCAATGTTTGCTCAGCCTTTCCTCTGCTGATGGGCATCCGGCTGTTTCCATCCTCTTGCCCTTAGGAATGATGCTGCAATGACCCGGGTGTGCTTCTACCTGTTCACGTGTGTTCCTTATTTCTATAGGGTCCACACCAACTAGTGTTGCGGAGGCATATGGTACTCCAATTCCCATGGTGCACATTGGGCATACTGATTTACATTCCCAATAGCAGGGTCTGGGGGTTCCTGCTCCCTAAACCCCCAGCCAGCAGGTGCCACTTTCTGCTCTTTTGAACTTTTGACAGGCATTTCCTGAGCACCCACTCTCTGCCAGTCTAGGCCCCGTAAAGAGTCTAGCAAAGATGAAAGTGACCTAGAGAGGCAAGTGGGCTGCTAACTCCATCACCGAGATGTACATCCTGCCCCCCAGTCATCGTCCTGGGTGCTGCATTCCGCACAGAGGCTCTGCCATTCTGCTACCCAGGTGTGCACATCTGTGCCGTCTCCACCTGCCCTCCCTGAGCAGAAGGACCCTGTCGCTTTTGTCTCTCGGGTACTTAGCACGCAGCTTGCTGCTCAGCAGGTGCTCAGAACATGTTCACAGAATCCAATCAGGGGAACGAGCACAGCTTGAGAGAGATCCTGACTCTTTCAGATGTTGAAAACTGGAGACCGGGATTATTTGTCACCAGAGAGGCAGAACAGAAACGTGCCGCTTTTATCATTTCATGATGATGTGCTAGGAAAATGTTAATGCTCCTGAAAGTACAGGCCTCATTTTTCCTCCTTTAAAAAACCTAGAAATAAAAATAGGTCTGGCTTGTTGCCATTCCAGAATCGATTAGCTGTAATAAAGAATGCGTTTCACAGAAAGAATACACTACAGTTTACTGCCCTCTGGGTTTGTGTTTCTCTTCAGCTTGGTGGTAGACTCCTGAATGATCTTTACCTGAATCTCTGTGATCACTTCCAGGACACACATGCCTGTTCTAGATCTAAAAAAAACTAATGATGGAAGGGATGATAAAGCCGGGGTGCGGTATAACACCGATGAACACATAACTATACTCTAGTTCTTTAATATTTCCTCCCATTACTATTATGGTTTTTGTTTTACTTCCTTGATCATGTTAGACTTGCGTATGTTCATTTGCATAGTTAAGATTGCTGGATACATGAAAGTGAAGATAGATACCTTCAGAAACAGGAACAGGAGTAATGATTCCCTGAGGGAATAGGAAGTGGGGGGAGAGGGGTTGAAGGGGAGCTGATAGCATTGATGACTGTATAACCCTACTCAAGGGGAACACACAGCACAATTGTATGTGAATGGATATCTTGGATGGTGTA